TAATCATATAATTTCGTAATTATGTTCACATTACAATAATTTGAATATTATGCTTATTCCGTCACAGATTGCAAATTCGTACGTCATCTATCAAGTATTATCTGTCCAAATAAATGGCACGCAAATACTTTCACCGACTTGTCAATGCCATTTAAAAACATTTTGTCATATTATGAACTGTTCAAATAATAAAATAATGGATGTAGCTACCGTCAAAACTTACAGAGGAAACGTTCTCAGCTTGTATCAATTTTGGATTTTTTTCGCGCTTGTGGCGACGTATTGGACTTGTACTACGGTTTCGTCTACTATATTAAATCCCATTTGTCTAGAAACTTTGGGTAACATATAATAGTTAATAACAGTAATATGATTCACTTTAATCGAAAATTAATTTTAATATTGACATATTTTCAGGAGACAAATCTGCAGAAAATTTTGGAAAACAAAAATGTTGGGCGTCAATCGGTTGGGGGAGTTTTTCTATATTCATCGGATGGCTCGTGGATGTATTCAGTTACAATGAAAATGATAAAAACTATTCACCCGTTTTTTATTCTACCATTTTAATCACAGTTTTGAATTTGGGAGTAGCTTACAAAATCAAAGTACGTTATTAACCCTTCTTATTTTCACTAAATAAAAAATTATAATAATATTTTTGCTATTAATCTACCTACAGCTAAATTTCTGTAATTCATAGGTTGTCGAAACGAACAAATCCGAAGGTCGATGGAAGAACGTGCGTGGGTTATTCTCTAAATATTATATGATTTCATTTTGYGTATGGTCAATTTTCAACACACTATTTCATACAATAGTCACTCACTTTCTGTTCTGGTAAGTATTCAATACATAAAATTTAACTCGAGTTTGTAGGTAATTAACCATTATTTTGCGTGCTATAATATATGTTATTTACAGTAGGTACCTAGATTAATTAATTAGAAATTCAGTTTTTATATATATAATGTATATATTATAGTGTAACATTTTCATAATGTAATTTTAATACATAATAATATGACTAACAGCATATCTTTTACCACAGTGGCGTAGACATGATTTCTGAAAGGGGGGGGGGTCAGAAAAAAAAACTACAACTAAATGGGAGGTGAAAATTGGAAAATCCCACACCCTCACAAATTTTTTTTCTTAGGTAAGTACCTAGTTTAATGTTTATGGTATTCATGTTTAGCATGAATATTTAAAGTCTAATAAAATTAATAAAAAATAAATTTTAAATATTTATAATATTGAAAAATTCAAAATGTGTTAACATAACTTTATAGACATACGTCATACATATTATATATATTATATACTGTATATTGTTGTCTCTATAAATAATAAGATAAGCTATAATAAAGCATAATTGTAGTCGTCAATCGTCATCGACCATTTCGACCAAATAAATATTACTGATTACTTTGCTAATTCGCTATAACTAAACGAAAATAAAATTATAATGGTGTTCAGTAATCAGTATATTGAAAAAACTGTCAAAATTCAATAGCTCGATAGATCACAATTCACAATATGAAAAAATATTAGATTATAGTGCATACTACATAATGTAAGCAAAAACAAAAAAATAAAGCTAAAGGGGGGATCTGACCCCCCACGTCCCCCCCTTGTCTACGCCCCTGTTCTACCATGATATAAAAACAAAAAAAAAAAACAAACAAACCTATTTTTGAATTTCAATTCAATTTGTAGCTAATGAAGAATTAAGTCAGAATTAACCTGAAAATACGAAATATACATATTTGAGATTACATGTGACTACAATAATTCAAATCATTCATACATCATGTTTAAAACACGTTCTATATAAAACTATAATTGTGTAATGTATATATTTTACTTATTTTAGGAACGCCTATAACTTTAGTATTTGATGTGTATTAATCAATAAAAAAAACAAATACAATTATATCACACAATTTCAAAAAATAGTGAAGTATTCTTCATTGGCTGTTTGATAAGCATTAGTTATCAAATTTYGAAAAAAAAAACAAGTTGCTTTCATTCAATTAAAACACTACAGAGTTCAATTTTTTTCTATTTCATAAATTAATATTTTTCCTCAAAATGGCTTCTTTTAAATTTAAAAAAATAGATTCTAAGTATTTTTTAAAATTAAATTATGTTTATTTTTTTGAACCGTGGTAAAATTGATCCATTATTATTTGTATACATTAAATTTAAGAAAACTGAACTACAATATCTGTATTATATTTCGAATTAGAGCTATAGATTTTCAAATTAATCAACATATAGGCATATAGATATTCTGTACATTATTTTTTCAAATTGTTTACCAGTTTTTAAAAAAATATTGTTGTTATTTRATGTGTTGAATTATAAATCATATTTAATTAAGGTACATGGAAGATTTAGTTTCTGTCAGCAATGACCACAGCCAAAAGGCATGGATAAAAACGCTCCAAGGTCTAGCTCAAGGAATCCAGTGTTTCGGTGGTGAGATACCATTTTTTTTCTGGTCTGGTTGGATAATTAGAAAGATGGGTTATGGCAAGTGCATGGTATTAGTGCTAGCAGCTATGGCCGTCAGGATGTATCTCTACACAGTCATCTGGAATCCAGCCTGGATCATTGCAATAGAATTATTAAACGGCATATCGTACGCTYTGGGATATGCGGTGAAAATGTCGTACGCAAAAATGTTGTCACCTCCCGACACACTAAACACCATAGTTGGATTTATAGGATTTTTCGATTGTATTGGTAAGTATACATTAAACTATATTTTAATTTTGGTCGCATGAAAAACTAATTAATTGAATGGTTTAATAAAATTTAATGGACCAATTATGGACCTCTATATCATGTTTAAGAGGATGCCACATGTGTTGTCTCCATCTTACAACCTACGTAGATCATGGTAAATTTTACGTTCAAGATAATACGTTTTACACTGTGAATTTCAAAACTAGAATGMATTTACCTGTGTATAACTTAAAAGAGAGGTTATTATTTGGGGCACCATCTTGGCGCCCTATATTAACATAAGAKCGCATTATATTTAATGGGAATTCATTCACTATTGTCAGTGTAGACTATAGACCAGTGGTAACACGTTTCCGGTAGACTTTTTTTATTTGATAAAAGTACACAAACTTAGTAGTATGAAGATTCTTGTATTGAATTTTCATATCATAGATTTTAAAAGATACATTTTTATAAAAATAATTTGCACTTGTTTCATCATTTTCACATATTATTTTGTCAACATTTTAACTTTAAATGCTTATAATAAAAAGTTGTAGGGAAATACAAAAAAGGGAATTTTTAAGTAAAATCGGATTTTGACATAATCAATTTTAGATTTTGGTATATATCTAAAACAAATTACTGTAAATATATGAAACTTTCACTGAATGTTTGTATTAGAATTTTCTATATACCACATTTATAATGTTTTTACTTATTTTAGGCTATTTACAGAAACTTTCAGTTTTCAATTTTTAGACGTTTTTTCTATAAATGACAATTAAATTTTATTGATTTGATAAAAAAAAGTTTGAAAATGTAATATAAGGCTCCTAATATATTGTTACAAAGGCAGTTAAAAAAATATTAAAATACAGTCACAATATTTTAGATTCTGAGCGGAGCGATGAAAGTATTGATTTTACCAAGATGTGTGTTTTTTTGTGTCTGTCATCACGTTTTGGGGCAGTAAAAATGCTTCGATTTTTGACTTCAGTACCTCGTTCGATCAGAAAGTGAATCTAGTTGGTACTTTGGGGGAGTCAAAAGTAAAAAATTCTTAATACTTTTCTAA